GACGTCATTGACCCCGCTTGACAATGCTCTTTAAATAGTATTGACATATCAAAATATTTTTACATAAACGTTGACGATCTTTAAAACTTCATAAAAAAATTCGGGTACCTCTAGGCAGGCTCCCGAAAGCTAACACAAGATAATTACCTCATCTCACTAGGAAACGTATTATCCTGTTTAGATGACGTCATTCGAAATTACGTAGCTACGACTAATACATATATTGAGTGTGTTGTTTGTTATAATAGTGTATTCATTCATTAATGAAAGTACTCAAAAACTAATTTAGTAAATTATTTACCTATCAAAATTGTGTTTAAGATTTCTAAATTCAAATATCATAAGTAATTACAGACAAATAAGAAAGTTTACTTGCAGTAGCCAAGGGGCTTTAAGACATTGGGAATTCGACATTTGACAGATGGTCGCAAGTTCTGTAGTACTAGACTACCTTTGAGGTCAATGATTAATTGGTCAACTATAATGACAAGTATCAAGCAGACTGAATTCGGAGTCAACGGCTAAATAGTAGTGTTTCTTCCAGACTTTTTACTCCGGGGGGGGGGGGGGGGGGCACTTGAAATTTTCCAGGGGGGGGGGAGGCGGTAGACTTTCTTTGGGTGGGGGGGGACGGACACTGTTAAAAGTATAAATCTAATATATAAAGCTCAATTCTGTATGTAATAAGTTTGTCGTTGACATACTTCAATGGATTTAAGTGTTAGATAATTAAAGTCCTTATGGTCTAAATTTATGAGTTAAAAAATTAATATTGAAAGTTTCGGGAAATAATTTTCATTTATCAAATTGAAAGTAATAATTTTCGGCATGTTCATTAAACACAAGTTTTAAAAAAAATATCATCTTTTACAAAAATTCTAATTATGTCTTTATTTAGTCCTATAGCACTTACTTCCCTTTGATAATTTAGGAAAACACAATTAGTTCCCTTTATAAAACAATTACATTAGTGGAAAAGTATTTACTTTTTATTACTTTGTTTTGGTGTTGGGAAAAAAATAATTACATAATTAGCGGGGATTGATCAAGTGCAAATGTTGTAGGTATTTTACGGATAAGCTTGGAGTATTATAATTGTTCATTAAATTGAAACAGGCGCGTTCGTTTAAGTGAGTGCAAAAGACTATGAATAAGTTGGGGTACTATAGTCGTTTATTAAGCTAAAACAGGCGATTTCGCTCCAGGCTAGGCTGTGAGCACTTTGCGTTTATGTTCGCGTTAGTGTTTTCTTTGTGTTTAGGTTGAGTTTGCGTTAGTGATTGCGGTTTGATTTGGTTCGTTTTTGTTCTTTCTTTTTTCGTTTTTGTTTGTGTTTTTTTCTTTGGGTTTGTATTTGTGTTTTTGGTTGGTTTTGCGTTTGGATTTGGTGTGTTTTCGTCTACTTTTTCTTTTTTTTTTTTGGTGTTTTTATTGGTTGGTATTGGTGTTTGTGGTTGTGGTTGGGTTTGTTGTTAGGTTTTTTTTTTCGTTTGCTTTTTTGTTTGTTTTTTCTTAGTGTTTGTATTGGTGTTTGTGGTTGTGGTTGGGTTTGTTGTTAGGTTTTTGTTTTCGTTTGTATTTGTTATTGTGTTAGAGTTATGTTTGCGTTTTGTTGTTTTGGTTTTGGTTGGTTGTGGTTTGGGTGGGCAATGCCGGGTTTATGATGATTACTAAACACACAGGTAATGGTCTTTAACAGAAAGGTTTTTCACAGAAGCCAGAGCAGGGCCTGGCCGGGACGGCTAGTTTTCTATATAAATTTCATTTAGTTCGGGGAGTGCGGTAGAATTTCTTCGGGGGGGGGGGGAAGAGATGCCTTGATGAAATTCTGCTGTACAGTATACAGCGCATAACAGGTTGATACGAAATATGTAATTGTGTTGGAGCTAATCCGGTCCAACAATATAATTAAGAACAAAGACGAAGAAATGTATTAAAGGCAAATGCAATCATCAATTTAAAAAAAACATTCAACATTTCGCAGTAAGTTAGCTCAAATGTAGCCTACGACAGGAGGACTAGTTTTTATCTCTAAACTTTCAAATTGAAAAAGCTTCAAGATTCCAACGCTACATCCACTAAATATTTATGTCAATTCGAATTGCTAATTAATTCTTGCCAGACGTCACGTGGGGTTAATTCTACGTGTCAATTCTACACAGTAATAGATGTCACGAGTTTCCAGTTTTCTAGTGGTCGGTTTTCCTAGGCATTTCCTGCGTTTGATCTGAGAAGAGTCAACCATGCATTGCAATCTTCAATAGAAAACTGCTATTTATTATACTTGTAACAGTCAAATGTAGGGTGAATGTATGTTTCGAGTGGAGGTGTAAAAAGGCGATATAAATCTAAAAAATATTGTGGGCAGGCGCATGCGCAAAAGAAAGTGGAAGTGGAGGAAAGAAGAAGAAAGGAGGTTTTTTGTTTTGGTAGCGTAGCTGCTGTATCTGTGATATCAATAAAATTGTAAAAATCACCAGGATAAAGGTTGTTTGATGTTATCTATCAGACCTTAAAATATAATAACACAACAGTGATGCGGTTTGTATTTGCCTTTACCATGTGCCATGAAGTTGGCTGTACAAACAGGCTGTGACAATACTGTATTCCGTAATTGAAAAAAATTATTGTGTCTTGAGAATGTTTTAAAATCAATACTTTCCTAGACAACAACAAAGGCGTAGCCAGGGGGAGGGCGGGGGGTACATATGTCCCCGGGCGCCGACCTTAAATTGTTTTTCATTAAAAATATTTTAAAATATATAGTTGGGGGGTTGCAAATTGAAAGTTTGAGGGGGGGGGGGTGTGCAAATTAAAAATTGAAAGGTTGTTCCCGAGGGGGGTGCCTAATTGAAAGTTTGTCCCCAGGCGCCGGGAAGGGTCGCTACGCCTCTGTGTGTGTGTACGTGTGACTGATTAAGTGTGCGTGTGTGTTATTTAAAGGCTCATTCTGTTATGTTTAAGCTTAAATATAGCCTTACATCTAACGATGCAAAGAAATGGTAAGTAAAAAGGTTTAAACCCGACAAACTTTTGGTAAAGAAAAATATAGCGAGATGCTCAGTTAACAAGATAAAATCATGTTCAAAACAAGCGAATATTATTACTCCATAGGTCTGAAAAATATCCGTAGCGCATTACTGGAAAAATATTTCACATTAATTATCTTATTTACTTTATTTTACCTGCACTAATGATGATCGTTGTAAGACAAACTGTCTTCATCCAAAATGTCCACAAGGGCAAAAAACAATAAAGTATCAGATCAAAAGGCCGATAAATCTTGAAAAAAAAGTCGCTGAAGAGAGATTTCTATTACGTCCCTTGTAAACTACAGTCAAAGAACGAAACAAAAGTTGCCAGCACTATCAGTATCACCCAAGGCGGAAGGTCCAAGAGACAATGCTAGTTTCTATCCTTAATAGTTGAAAAAATCAGATCAAACTAAAAGAAATAACCGGAGTGTCTTAAACACACCCAATAACAACAATTAGGTGTAGGATGCTATATCAAAACAAATCCAAGTAACCAATTAAAGTAAACTGACCACCAACAATTGACCGACTACTTGTTAAATACTGACAAAATATTATTTGCATTCTAGTTTCTCGAACATTGCGGGTTACTTTCTAGGTCTCCATGTTTTACAATTCCCTCCTTTTATTGTGGGACAAAATTTGTGAGCGTTATCAGAATCTCTTGATTGAAATAAAACACACAAAAAAAGAAAATTGTATTGCCCAGAAGCTTACAACCTGCTAAAATATGTTTTAAGTTTGATAAAATAAAATTGAATTAAGTGAAATCTGTTATTTTTTGGTTTATTTAAAAAAAAATGTCAAAATGTATAAAATCAAAGCGACATTATGGGGATGGGGGAGGGACTACCGAACTGTCTTAGTTAATTAATTATTATTTTTTTGTACTTAACTTAATCATTGCGTAACATGTTTTAAATAAATACTTAACATTTTTATACTTGGAGTTTTGTTGTTTTCTAAAATTAGCTAGCGTTTATTTTCAGTCGGCCGTTTCGTTATTGGCTTATCTCCTGTCGGCTTTATTTCGTGTCAGCACTTTGTCTATGTCGGCCTTTAGTCGCCCATAGACAGTCCGTCATATGCAGTAAGTGCGTAGCTTATTACTTCTACCTTAAACACTTTCTTACAAAACAGAACTTCTATTTTTAGCCTTCTCTCCCGCCTGCTTGCATATATAACTCAAACAAAAATTCTATTTTTAGCCTTCTCCCCCGCCTCCTTGCATATATAACTCAAACAAAAGTTCTATTTTTAGCCTTCTACCCCCGCCTCCTTGCATATATAACTCAAACCAAAGTTCTATTTTTAGCCTTTTCTCCCGCCTCCTTGCATATATAACTCAAACAAAAGTTCTATTTTTAGCCTTCTCCCCCGCCTCCTTGCATATATAACTCAAACAAAAGTTCTATTTTTAGCCTTCTCCCCCGCCTCCTTGCATATATAACTCAAACAAAAGTTCTATTTTTAGCCTTCTCCCCCGCCTTCTTGCATATATAACTCAAACAAAAGTTCTATTTTTAGCCTTCTCCCCCGCCTCCTTGCATATATAACTCAAACAAAAGTACTATTTTTAGCCTTCTCCCTCGCCTCCTTGCACATATAACTCAAACAAAAGTACTATTTTTAGCCTTCTCCCCCGCCTCCTTGCATATATAACTCAAACATAAATTCTATTTTTAGCCTTCTCCCCCGCCTCCTTGCATATATAACTCAAACAAAAGTACTATTTTTAGCCTTCTCCCTCGCCTCCTTGCACATATAACTCAAACAAAAGTACTATTTTTAGCCTTCTCCCCCGCCTCCTTGCATATATAACTCAAACATAAATTCTATTTTTAGCCTTCTCCCCCGCCTCCTTGCATATATAACTCAAACAAAAGTACTATTTTTAGCCTTCTCCCCCGCCTCCTTGCATATATAACTCAAACAAAAGTACAATTTATAGCCTTCTCCCCCGCCTCCTTGCATATATAACTCAAACAAAAGTTCTATTTTTAGCCTTCTCCCCCGCCTCCTTGCATATATAACTCAAACAAAAGTACTGCACGTCTGAGCCATGTAGACCAAACTGTCCGTCCACACACGAGTACCCCTGTATGTCCACCTTCTGCAGGTGTCGGAACTGAGGTGAGTACATGGCTCCAATCACCTGCTGGTCAGTGCTGGACATGCCGGCCTTGATCAGCTCCTGGGATACATATTTGTACGACGTGATGAACGTGCGGATGACCTGGGGAAGGTTGTAGGTAAATTGTACAGTATTTTAAAAGATATATAAGAGTCAAATATTCAAATCCATGGCTACATACTCTATGCAGAGGCGTAGTGAAGGGGGGGTGCGGACCGCACCAGGTGACACCATTAAGGGAGGTGACACCAATGCAAAAAATAGCAAAATATATAGAGAAAAATGATAATTCCACTTAATTAAGTGATTAATTCGAGTGTTAAATATTCTTTTAAGAGGTACAAATCGAAAGTTTGAGGGGGGGGGGTGCAAATCGAAAATTGAAAGTTTGTCCCCTGGAAGGGTCGTTACGCCTCTGGGGGGATACCATTAAGTGCCGCACCGGGTAACACCCGACCTCGCTACGCTACTGACTCTATGCGCTTGATGAACTAATGCTAAAACGACAATGAAAATGGCTGGTCTGCCAAAGTTTATGAAAGCTAACACGGAGTCGTCAATAAATTACACGACGCTATGTTTGTGCCTTTTCTACAACCCCATCTTATTTCATCTCAATAGCGAGTCTCCTACGTCATCAACATCGCATAAAAGATGATGACGTCACAAAGCCAACTATCCAATCAGAGACCTTGTTGTGTTTAGAAAATTTAAATGTAACTATTAATAAGTTATTTTTAACCGAAGCCTAACCTCGTGGGTCCCCATCACGTGACCCCCTGCCACCCAGACATGATTATCTCTGATGTACTCCCACGGGCTGAGCCTCTCCATGGCTTGTCTTGACGACACCTGTGTAAACCCCACTCGACTGCTGTTGAAGTCTGCAGGTACCTCCATGGTGAAGCTGTTGTTCTTTGGTTTCAGTTTCTCTTCCAGAAGATTCCTGGTGATTTAAGGGGTTCAGAATTGTGTAAGATAAAAGCCAGAATAATTTTTGAAATATCCAATCTTATATTTATTTAGTTGTATTATATATGTGTTTACAAAATAAATAAACAGACCAATGCCCATACCTAAACAGAATAATGTCCATACCTAAACAGACCAATGTCCATACCTAAACAGAATAATGTCCATACCTAAACAGACCAATGTCAATACCTAAACAGATCAATGTCCATACCTAAACAGACCAATGTCAATACCTAAACAGACCAATGTCCATACCTAAACAGACCAATGTCCATACCTAAACAGACCAATGTCCATACCTAAACAGACCAATGTCCATACCTAAACAGACCAATGTCCATACCTAAACAGATCAATGTCCATACCTAAACAGACCAATGTCCATACCTAAACAGACCAATGTCCATACCTAAACAGATCAATGTCCATACCTAAACAGACCAATGTCCATACCTAAACAGACCAATGTCCATACCTAAACAGACCAATGTCCAGACCTAAACAATATCCATACCTAAACAGATCAATGTCCATACCTAAACAGACCAATGTCCATACCTAAACAGACCAATGTCCATACCTAAACAGACCAATGTCCAGACCTAAACAATATCCATACCTAAACAGATCAATGTCCATACCTAAACAGACCAATGTCCATACCTAAACAGACCAATATCCATCCATGCCAGATATTTTGTCTTGACCAGTCCCATGTCCAGTGCCATGGTCATGACGTCATATTTAGCACTCATGGTGCAGCTGTAGTTGGCGTTGATGGTGTTGGGTGAATGTTTGGGGTATGAGCTGTTGCTGTAAATTTGTTTGATCCTCTCCAGGTTCTTGAAGGCGTCCAGCTGGGACCTGTTGACTTTCACAATCACAGTCCTGTGGGCGGGCTGCTGAGAACGGATTTGTCTTGGATAGAGAAAATTGTTTCAAAGTTAATAAAATAACAATAACTAAATTATTTTTTTTAATCGACATATTAATTTATAAATATCTCAACCTCAAACCTTATCACTTAATTTAAAATGACAACTGAAAAAAAAAATAACCTACTTAAAATACTCTATTGTTTCATCATCTTCGAAAAAAGCTACGACGTGATTGGTCAACCAGCCCCACGTGATCATCCATTTTTTATATTTGTCCGGGGTGTTGTAGTTGGAGCCGCCGCCCTTCTGTAAACTGCCCAGGTTGATGAACAAGGTCACGATGGTGATGGAGGGGGCGTCCTTGTCTTCGTCGTACAGAGACTTCTGGAGCTCGGCAACCTGTGGGAGATGAAACAAGTCAAACACAACACAAGACAAAATGCAGACAACACACAGACAACATTTGTACTGAAATAGATGCGGCTCCTGTATCAGGATGTGACAGAGACTTCTGTAGCTCGGCAATCTGTGGGAGATGAAACCAGTCAAACACAACACAAGACAAAATTCAGACATTTAGACTGTACAGAAATAGGAGAGACAATGGATGTGTACGAGAAGTGAAATCTTCAAGGTGTTTGAGCATTTGAGATAATTACCAACACCTAACTATGAAAACAACATAAATAAACTAAATAATTTAAAAAGCGCAAATTATGAAGGAATTATCTCACCTTGTACTAAGCACATAACAGGCTTAAATTGGGATCCCCGAGTAAAGAGGAAAGTAAGAAGACCAAAACAAAACAAATATGAAAATATTAGTTGTCAATGAAGCACGAGTATCCCAAATGTTAGGGACCCTAATTGGAGGAATCGCCCAAAACAGAGTAGTAAGGTGAGTTGATGTTGTGTTGCTATTGTACGTAGGAATGATGATGCTGATGTTGACAATAATGATGATTATTGTACAAGAAATATGTCTTAAGAAACTGCAATTGAATATAAACAGAATATGTGCTTGACCATATTCTTTATGTTGTTAAATACAAGTAGTAAATAGGTGTTAGGTTTGATAGAAAGTGGTTAGCCATATCAACCCAAACCCAAAATGAAATTGTATTTAACCGTGCTGGTTAAGACTTCATATAACAAGATTTAAAAAAAAACCACAAACCTTTCTGTTGACTACTTTCTTTTCCCATCTAAATCTGTCTGTCAAATATAAACAACAGTGAGTTAAAAGTTAAGTGAATCGCAAACTGTGTTCTACTCGATCACACTGTGACTGTATCGTAAACATAGTTTGGCGTATTGTGAAGCCACTATGACTTTTCATATTACAATTGTGTGGCTGCAACAGCCGTATCCTGGCAACCGTTTCAATAGCAGACCGAACCATGTGGGGAGTGATGCTAACACGGCATCACATGACGTACGAGCTTCGAAAAAAATGTCATCGGCCGAGTCGCAAGAGTTCCTAGATGAACCTGAACGCTTACGTGTTCTTGACCTAGTCGAGCCACCTAAATGGATAGATCCGGTTGTGGGCAGACAAGGAGAGGGGTGGGCGACGTCATGCGACACTTAACCCGAGACATATCTCATAAAACGACACATAACCAAATCCAACGCCCGGGTTACAAGGCCCGCGATTACCCTCGTAGAACATAGAAAATATACCACTGGTCTACCCAGATTTAAGATCAACGCAATAAAAAAAATCTCAATCGGCATTTGCGATTTCTAAGAGAAACAGGTAAATTTGAAGAACTCTTATACAAAACGAACAAAGAATGATGGAATGTCATCAGACTCTGTAAAGTGTGATGGAAACACATCGGGCAGACATCCATATTGGAAGATCTCAAACTGTTCCAGATGACAGACAAGGGCAAGGAGTCGGTTTTTTTCATCCAAAAAAAATGATATCAACTGCATCATGAGCTGCAGGGCTCTCCCGCAGACAAATCACCATTTGCTTGAGATCTTAGCCCTTCATCATCACCATTGTGCAGGCTAATGTCCCAACATCAAGCTACGACGATGCCGAAATATAAGAATTCTGCGCATTTGGTAATTGACTGAATCCTTAAAATGAAGATTCTTATGGTGCAGGGGAAATAGAATGCTAAGATAGGAGAGGAGAAAATAGAAATGTACATGTAGCAAAGATTGTAACACAATGTTACACAAGATAGCCCTAAGACTACAAGAAAATGCTAAATATAACAATTTAATATCTTTTTTGCTTATATTTTAAATTAATTTAATTTATTTTATGTAACTATAACATTACTGTAAAACTGCCTTCGCCTAGATGTAAACGAGAGGTCAAGATGACCGTTAAGTCAACTGTTGTTGCTTGGTTACCGTCTATCTACCATAACTCAACATGAACTTACCGGCAGCAGTGAAGCAATAGTTGACCAACATGAAGCTCAGGCCCATCACTATGGCGATAAGAGACAATCTGATCATAACCCTAATCTGAAGCAGCGATTTTAAGAAAAATCTTTAAACATATATATCTATTTCAATACGTGAACGTGTACGTATACGTGTACATGCATATATATATATATATATATATATATATATATATATATATATATATATATATATATATATATATATATATATATATATATATAAAGCTCAATTCTGTATGTAACATGTAATAAGTTTGTTTGTCGTTGACATACTTATATGGATTTAAGTGTTAGACTATTATCGTGCTCATAGTCTAAATGTATGAGTTAAAAAATTATTATTGAAAGTGTTGGGAAATAATTTTAATTTTTCAAACTGATAGTAATGATTGTCGGCATGTTCATTAAACACAATTTTTTAAAAAAATTAACAAAAGTTCCAATTATGTCTGAAAATTATTTATATTTAGTCCTTTAGCACTTACTTCCCTTTGATAAATTAGGAAAACACAATTACTTCCCTTTATAAAACATTACATTAGTGGAAAAGAATTTAATTTTTATTACTTTGTTTTGGTGTTGGGAAAAAAATAATTACATAATTAGCCGGGATTGATCAAGTGCAAATGTTGTATGTATTTTACGAATAAGCTTGGAGTATTATAATTGTTCATTTGGTTTGGTTTGGCACCTACGTTCGTTTAAGTGAGTGCAAAAGACTATGAATAAGTTGGGGTACTATAGTCGATTATTAAGCTGAAACAGGCGATTCTGCCCCGGGCAAGACTGTGAGCACTTTGCGTTTATGTTCGCGTTAGTGTTTTCTTTGTGTTTAGGTTGGGTTTGCGTTAGTGGTTGCGTTTTGATTTGGTTCGTTTTTGTTCTTTCTTTTTTCGTTTTAGTTTGTGTTTTTTTCTTTGGGTTTGTGTTTGTATTTGTGTTTGTTGTTGGTTTTGCGTTTGGATTTGGTTTGTTTTCATTTGCTTTTTCGTTTGTGTTTTTTTCTTTGGGTTTGTGTTTGTGGTTGGTTTTGCGTTTGGATTTGGTTTGTTTTCGTTTGCTTTTTCGTTTGTTTTTTTCTTTGTGTTCGTATTGGTGTTTGTGGTTTTTGTTGGGTTTGTTGTCAGGTTTTTGTTTTCGTTTGTATTTCTAATTGTGTTAGCGTTATGTTTGCGTTTTGTTGTTTTGGTTGGTTGTGGTTTGAGTGGGCGATGCCGGGTGGGCAATGCCGGGTTTATGATGATTACTAAACACACAGGTAATGGTCTTTAACAGAAAGGTTTTTCACAGAAGCCAGAGCAGGGCCTGGCGGGACGGCTAGTATATATATATATATATATATATATATATATATATATATATATATATATATATATATATATATATATATATATATATATATATATATATATATATAAATCTTTCCCATTTGTGCCCAATGACCTCGGCATACGATGAGATAATATGGTCAGCACTGTGCCCAGCCGTCAATGTTCCGTAATTGAAAAATTTCCGAACGTCGTGAGAACACAAGTTTACAAATGTTTATCTCAAATGTCAGTGCCGGTACGGCTAGTATGTCTACAGTTAGAGATACCAGCCGTACCGGCCAGGCCATGCACTGGCGTGTGAGGTAAAAGTTACTTTACATAATTTACATGTTCATTAAGCTTTATATACCCTGCGCTGCCTAATGTTTGGGAATTTAATTAAAAAATTCAATTAAAGGCATTCTTAATGTACAAAAATATATTAGTTTGATCATAATAGTGGTTATACAATTTTGCCTGATACTACATAAATTGTCACGTAATAAAGAAATGTATAAGAGCAACTTTTTTTTTTCAAAAAGTAGACAGCAGGTTTTGCAAGTAGCCTAAAATAGCAGCTACTAGAGCTCGTTAAACTGTCACGCCTATTTGAAAATTGTGTAAAACAAATATTTAAGGATTTATACTTTCATCCACACGTTATTATTGTTTCTTTTTGTGTGTAATCAAATAACTGGGGAAAATAAAATTTTATTCTTAACGAGGTTATATATTACTTTATCTGGGAATAATTGAGAGGAAAGATTTTTAATTTGTATTTATTTTCACATCTATTTGGTACCCGTTTAGTATAAATTTTAAAGGATTTTTCTTTTATCCAAATATTTTCTTCATTTATTTTTGCGTGTACTTGAAGAACGGAGGAAATTAAAAGTTTGAATTCCTGAAGCGCTTACGCCCTTTTAACATTTAAAATTGAGGGGTAAAAGCATTTAATTATTAAACCCTTAGTATAACATTTCTGAGAATCTGGTATATTTCCAGGTGCCTACAAAACCAGAGCTATCTCCTTACCAAATATCAACTTTTTGTAGCATCTGCAAGTGGTGGATTTAATTCAAGCACTTTTAAAAATGTATAGAACATATATGGCCGCGGTCACTCTTGGTCAGTTTTCGGTCACTTGAAACTCGATTATTGCGCTGACTCAAAGTTTCCCGTTAAAAAGAGAGTGAACAGCACACTTTGTCAAAAGTAATTTCCCTGCTACTTACCTTCAATAGGTGTGATTAACAAACAAACAAATCAAACACACAATATCTGCTAGGGGGGGGGGGATAACTATACTATCTACTTCTCTAGGCTTATCTAGTTACTGTTCGGTCAGTGCAACCGTGGTAAAACCCACGGAGGTTAAGCCCTAATCTTAATCTTATGCTAAAAATAAAACAAAAATAATGCTTAACAATTTATAGAATTTATTTTACAAAAATGTGGAACCAAAATTTAATGAAAAGATAAAGATCTAAATAAATTAGACCACAAACAAAACTAGACAAAACAAAACACTCAAAACATACAAAACACCCAGCCAAGTTGCAAAAACAACATCGCCCCATGCACGAGGTGCGCCAAGCGCCCACAGAAACTGACCAGATCTACATTTTCGACTCGGGTAAAAAGAAAAAAATATCCGAGCGGTCAGTCGGCTTTTATACCCGTTCAGCCGGAAGGGGGAAAAACCCGTAGCCGCTGTCCAGTTGACCATTCATGCACAGATTCGCACCAATAAATATAATACAAAAAAATTATCCATTCACCCGCTCATATATATATATATATATATATATATATATATATATATATATATATATATATATATATAAATATATATATATTTATATATATATATATTACGATCTATAGCCGGTCTAAAAATGTATGCGATATTTCAAATCTGGTATTGCATTTTTGTTTCACTAAATCTACATCGGCACAAGTGCATGTTAACAACTTTAGTCTACAGTCTACACCAGGGGTCGGCAACCTGCGGCTCACGAGCCGCATGCGGCTCTTTTGATGTCAAGTTGCGGCTCTTCGGCTCCATGCACAAATATTAATAATTATTTTATTGTATTTTCAAATATCATAAAATATTGTTCTGCAACACTCGGCAATGAATTATATATTAATAAACATTAAACACTCGCTATTATATTAGAATATTTAGATTATCCCTATTTTCAATGTACTTCCTATTAAACTGTTCATCCCAAATTGAAACATTCAACTTCATGGTGGATATCACAAAGAAAATATAAAAACTGCAAGGAAATGAAAACTCAGCCTATGTCTTGTTTGAGAAGTAGATGTTTCCAAAAAAAAATTACTTTTTTTCATTGAAGACAATCAAGATTACTTGATTTCGAAAAATTAGAAAAATATATCTAGAAACCAATGTAACTATTAGCATGAATTGCTTCAGCATTTGTGGAACGGAAAATTCACAGAACTCAAGAGCAAGTAAAAATAGTTGAAGGTCCGGTAAAACACGCACGTTACGCTGCACATCTGGACAGCTGTAAAAGAAATATCGCGAGTTGAGGCACTGATACGTGACACATAGAATAGATTCGCAGGATAGTACAGTAACGTGGAGAAGTTGACATCTGGAGTGCTGACGATCTTTATGTCAACATATTCGTGCTAGAAAGAGTTCTTTTACATGAATATAATACAAAGTTAAGTAAGAAGCCAACTAACAAATACAAATCTAGAGGCGTGCTTGAAACCTCAAAAACAAGAATTGATGAGCCAGATTTATACAAACTTCCACGGCATGCAAGGTCAATGCTCACATTGATGTAACTAATGCAAATATTCAATGATTATAGTTATATTTTATGATTACTAATTTCATTATTCTAGCAGAGCTAGCTAAAATACTATAATATGTTTTGTGTGAAACATGTGTATTTAAAAAAAAAATATGAATAAATATTATTTCATATTTAAAGCTATTTATTTAAATTATATATATATATATATATATATATATATATATATATATATATATATATATATATATATATATATATATATATATATATATATATATATATATATATATATATATACCTAATCTTAAATATTGAAAAAAAAAATGTTAGTGGCTCTTTGAAAACTGGTAAATTTTGTAAATTGCAACTTTTGGCTCTTCCGTCTCAAAAGGTTGCCGACCCCTGGTCTACACATTTGTACTTACTATCTTGTTTGTCATTCTGGCCCGTAACACAAAGACGTTATCGCTTCTTATATTTAGACGGTCACATGAATCCCCAATGTTTCAATACGGACAAGAATTGCAATGCGCAACCACAGTCACGCCAAATAATAAAACACTACCTTAAAATGATAACTTCCAAAACATAAAAACACACGCCCCACTTAGCCTTAACAATTTTTATAATCAACTTGTTGAAACTGTAATGCAATTTATTTTCAAAAGGAAGGCCGCTAATATACAGACACAGAACATGACGTAACAGCCGTCTTTGAAAGAAACCCTAAAAAAATGAGGGCAATCTGCAAGAGCTTTACAATCTCCCATTGGCTGTTTATGATTCGTTTTTTGGGGTTATGCATTTACTAATGAACTATTAAAAAAAGGATCGGCAAAATTTCAAAACACGCCCACCGTTACTTGGTAAATCGGTGAATCTGTAGTGAAGAACGCGTAGGGGCTGGC